AGGTGCCCGCGTAAGTATGACTGTAAAATATTACGGTTTACACCAAGCTCTCATGATTATTCTTGGACATTTATATCTAAAATCTTCTTACCTTACCATTAGTTTATTGACGATATTTTGATGTGCTCTCGACGCATCAACTAAAAGCATACACAACCCTAGGCGCTGCCGAGGTCGCGTCGGCGAGGAGGAGTCGCGGTTCGCATACCCTCGCTTCCGCGGCAGCGCGCGTCATCACCCGGGCATGTACGCGGGTGGACCGTCAACGGCTGTGATGCACGGGGCGCACGGCGCGCACGTGGGGCACGCGGGGCTCGCGGGGCATGCGGGGCACGCGGGGCACGCGGGGCACTCGCGCGCGCCCCCCGACGACGACGCGCTCTACGAGACGGCGGACGCGGAGCGGCTGCGCGACGCCCCAGACAGCGAGAGGTGAGCATCGCATTCAACGCTTATTATTATTATTTTCAAAATTTATAATTTTTTTTCTTTAACTACATTTCTATTACAAAGTAATAACTAACGTTACACCAGGCACCATGTGCCTTTAAAATGACATATTTCGTCGCCAAATGAATGGATAAAACCTTATTCTAAAACACAAATCACTATTACAAAAATAAGTAGTGAGAAACTGCGTAATTCAATGCCATTTTTAAATAACAACTTCAGTGACTCATGTGATCATGTGCATCAATATACTTGATGTATTTAATACTTTGATTGCAGCACCAAGACATTGTGCTAGGACTAACCGGCGGGCTCCACGGTCTAACTCTTCAACATACTAAATTTTAATGACGAAAATTTAAAACAAAAATAAGAGAGTTAGCTGAATCTAACATCTCTTCAGAAATTCAAAAATCTTGATAAGTAACAGAAACTTATAAAAATATCGTGTAATTGAGTTCAATTTGATTGAATAGGATTTAATAAACGTGAATTGGCTAAAGGCGCGGAGAGCGTAGACCCGGGAGCCCGCGGAGCGCGCGCCTGCACTGTCCCTTCCTCTTCTCTATCATTTTCTAGTGATGAATTTATTCAAGCTCAACAACAGTTAGCCCGGTGGGCGAGTGAAGACGCGGTGCCGGCGGCGGCGCGCGAGTACTACCCCTCGCCGGCGGGCAGCGAGAGCTCCGACGCGCGGCACGGGCCCCACGCGCCCCCCGCGCCCGCCGCCTTCCCCGAGTACAACCACTGACCCCCCGCGCCCACCGCGCCCACCGCGCCCCCCGCCGGGCCACGCGCCCCCCGCCGGCCACACGTAGCCCGTTAGCACCGCACCTAGAGCGCGACGCAGCGTCGTCTCTCGATACGTATTTCGGTGAACTGTAAATATATTGCACATATATAAACGATATGACTGAAAACTATAATATTGATGAAGCTAGTGTAGCCGCGAGGCGAGCCCGCGCCGCCCGGGCCCGCGCCTCCTTACAATGTTTATATTCGTTCCATACAATCGATACGCTTTACTCTTATTATATGTTCTGCGGGTCCGCGCGGCGCCGGCGCGGCCTGCATCTCTAAAGTAGCTTTAAGGAAATCATCATTGTACGGACGTAGCGTAAGTGTTGTGCGGTGCGACGCGCCCGAGCTCGCGCCCCGCGCGCCCACCGCTCGGGTGGCTTCCCATTTAGATAGGCCATTAACAAATTGAGCTAAATGTAACCCTAAGCGAAGCTTTAATGTCTCAGTTTGGTGAGCGCCGCGACGAGCTCGGCCGCGTCACTGAACTGTGAGAGTCTCTACATTAAGTTTAAAGTTTCTGAACGTTCATTGTCGTGACGCGGGGCGCAGCGAGCGGGGCGGCCAGCGGGGCAGCCGGCGGGGGCGGCGCGCGGCCGCAGAATGCGTCCCCCGCGCGCCCCGCCCCGCCCCGCCCTGCCCCGCACGCAGCGCCACGCGCCTCGCTTAGGGTGCTCGCGCACTGAGCTCAATGTGTAACATGACATTGTAAACCAAAAACGTTCTAAACACTTTTGTTAAACGTCGTTATATTTTATAATAGTTTGTTAGATAATAAAATTACTCGCATAAAATAAAGTTTAATTTTACAACTGTTTATATAATTTGTTGATTTCTATATGTATACACGATATATTGTAAAACGGATATTTAACGTTATGTAATAAACGCTATTTAATATTTTAAAGCTTCAGTATTTGAGAGCCCGTTCTCATTTAAAGGGTAATAATAACACCAATTTATCGCTCGAGACCTCACACTCAAGTCGAATACAATAAAAAAAAAATAATAGTAAATCTAGTTTTGAATTTCTCAAATTAGCTCTCGCACACCGTGCACTAGACATTTTTATATCTAGCCCATAATGTACACAAGTTCTAAATAGATTCAGTATTGTGAATAAAGATTATTTCGAATTGTATCAGAATATACACTATATAATGATGTTGACGATTATATTGACTCTGAAACGAATTTACGTCAAAACATAGGAAGGTGAAGAGTCACAGTGTTACTGTTCAGTTTACGTTTGTTTGTTTGTGAACGAATTAGGAGGTTATTGTTTCCATTCGGAATTACGCTAGGCTAGGTGGCGCCGCCACGGATATTAATCGTAGGTTAAAGTACAGTTAACGTATTGAATAGTGACCGCATCCGGCTGCGTCCGGCCGCGTCCGGCCGCGTCCGGCCGTCGGGCGTCGGCTCTCAAATAAATTAATCCCATTAGATATTCGTTATGATAATTAAGAATTGAATAGTTTCTATTGACGCGTACAGTACAGGGTAGTCGTGATCAGTACTGTGTGCCGGCGCGGCGCCCCCGCCCCGCTTGTCGCCCGCGGGTTCGAGTCGCTAACGACACAACACTGCCTATATATAATGTAATTAGAAAAAGAGTAACGTTTTTGAATTATATTAAGAAACGTTGTCCTTTACATTATATGTAATCGTCAAATCATTCGCACAATTCACCTCACACTGATCCGTAAACTATATAAATACCTAATCTGAATTCGTCCTGTTGTTGTGACTCCTTATGAATCATTTAGATAAATCAAGTAAACGTAACTTCTCCAATAAATACATCATTAATTTAAATTTGAATAACAGAACTATTGTTCGATATATTTCAGATAATATATGACAACATTCATATTCGTGCATTTCTATTACAGCTCTTGATCGTAATAACAGTCATAATTACCTGAAATCTTTTAGATACGTTGTTGTAGTTGCAATGTTGCCTCATTTCTAAACAAAAACAAAAAACACCTATCTAGTTTATCAAGCTTGTATTTAGTAAAGGACAACTCATTAGTTCGTAAAAGAACCCGCTGTCGAACAACACCAAAACGCTCAAGCGACAGCAACTGTGACGAGGTGCGCGGGGAGCGCCGACCGGCGGACAACGCGTGTGCGCACTCCGCTAGCTCGGACTCGACTGCGCTCGTGCCCCGTATTACCAGGGCCGTAAGGGTGAATTTGAAGCTGCACAGATCGTACGTAGGCCTAACACGTCAATTGCGGACGGCGCGTACACCGCCATTGCTCAGGGCCGTGTTCCGACCGCCGCGGGGCGCGCCGAAGGTACTTAGGAAATTATTGTGACAACCCTTCGCCCGCACCCCGCTGTCGGCCGATGACGACCAGGGTGATCGTCACTGAGGGCTTTTGTATCGCACCAACAGAAGTTATGATATCGTGTTTTCATTGTTATTAATTTGTAGGTTTAAGAATGGGTAGAAGAAAACGCACATAGAGTTAATTCGGTTTATTAAATATGTTTGAACATTTTTTACTGTTACTTTTTTCATAATAATGTGTTTGAAATTTTGATTAAAATTATACATCATTCTCGCTTGCACAAATTAAGGAAACGACACCATAGTCTTATATATTTGTCCTGTTCAATCGATGGCAAAGCGACGACGAGGTGGGGCGGTGCCGCATTAGCGACGAATTGATAAGTGTGTGACAACCTTAAATCCGACCTCTGTGATCTTGACGCTTAACGCTGTCCCACGCGCCCTTTGCACCGTTCGATCATTAACTGATGTCAAACGCTATTTATTTGTAAACTGTGGCTACTAAAAATTTGTTACAGATTTTTTTTATAGAAAATAGGCAATGTACACATTAATATAAGTTATCTATGTTTGTATTCAAAATAATTTACTAACTAAACTAATTAATAACTATGTGATTTGATTGTGTTAGAACTTTCTTTACTTTTCTGTACTTTTAATTAAGTCCTTTTTAAGCTCATGTAAATATTTCTTATTATCTCCAAAATTACTATTATTTTATTGTTTGATATCATGACTTCATAAGCGATAGTAGAGTAGGAATTGGCTGCAAGTATCCCAGAATCCCTTTTGGCTTTGGGATTAGGAATTCTAACCGTCAGCTTCCACTACTGGAGCACCTGTACAAAATCGTATTATTATCTCTATTATTTTCAATGATAATAAAAGAGATGATATAATGTTTTTGTTTTGTGTTTCTGTTGTGTAAACCCATGTTTAGAATATGCGATGACGTGCTCAATAAGTTATTCTGAGAAGGTGGCGATCACTCGGTCGTAGAACACGCCGTACTAACTAGTTATTTAACGTTAAGCGATATTATGTAATATAAAAATACGAATTTTAAACGAAACAAAAAAAAACGTTGAAACGTTGTGTCATTTTCCGTTTTTATTTTTTTTGTCCTTGTAAATATATTAAAGTATATGATTTATTAAATGAATGTAACATATTAATAATGAAAGGAAATAGATGAACACAAATTTTATTAAGTTGTTTTATTTACCCTAAACTATTCAGAATTTAAATGTATGTTAGAAGTGATCAATTCACTGTAAGATTTCTGGCACTAAAAAAAATGCTTCCACTTCACGCGTCTTCTGTGTGGTCGTGGTATTGACATTACATTCGTGAAGCATTACAGTTGCAAAACCCATACAAATGGTAACGAAATGAATGTTAAACTAGAAATTATTATTTTTAAAGGGAGGAAAAAAAAAACAAAAGAAACCTAATAAAAGAGCTTTAAAGTTTATCGTTTATTTTTACACCGATGCATCAGTACTTTCACTTTTCCTTCTAATTAAAAACTTAGCGAAGTCATCTTTTTCGGGATCGAACGTGGATTTTTTGTCGCACTGCGCGGTGGCGGCCGCCTGCTGTATTTGTTCGCCGAAAGCTTTCACATCTTCCTTTAAGAACTCCACCAAGTATTTACGAGTGTCCATAATTACCACAGCATCGTCCCTAGCCATCGACCACACACTAGGCTTTATGCGCGGGAGCATATTCTGTCCAACGAACACACCATGGAACAAGCCTTGAAACGGCGGCTTATGAGGATACTGGTCCAATGCAGAGAGAGAAAGAAAATGAACCTTACCATAATCAACATTAATATAAGTATCACGGTCTTCTCTAAGCAGTAACGGCGCTTCAGGCACACTCTCAGATATTTTTGCATCTATCTGACTCATCACCACCAGACCTAAATTCTTCTCATCCTCCAAGTTCATCAGATTAACATCAAACTTCTGGCGATTTTCAAGCTCGTACAACATTCGCATAACATTACGCTCCGATATATCGGTCGCTCTCTTGAAATTAGCGCCCTGAGTGGTCCGCAACATATCTTTATCCTCGCAATCCAATCCATACGCAATGTATGGTGACGTCACGATATCCCCAAGATATCCGCGATGCAAATATCTCTCCCCGCACTTGTATACACCGGCAGCAAACGTAACATTGGGCCGACATACTTCAGTTTCCAGCCAAGTAAATGGGACACCATGTTCTCTAAAATGCTTATACTCCTGAAAAGATATTTGCTTCGCTATTTCTCTCAGGCGCATGTGGTAGTCCCAGTCGTAGACCCCCGCTCTGGTATCATATCGCAACCCGAGACTGTGTCTCACTCGATGCTCCCAGAGCTCACACGCATTAAACTGATTTGTGTTTCCAGTTGTCCAAAAATTGAATAGATTTTCTATGTAGTCCCTTTCACGGTATTTCATCTGGTCAATCGATATGCAAGGAAGAAGACAGCTCATGTATTCAGTGTTAGTAATCATGCCAATCAGTTGACGAGCTTTGGCGGTTAAATACCTGGATGTAGGGGGTCGAAGGAGGATATTACCGTACACTTCCAAGAACCGCCTGGTCTTTTCGAGTAATCCGCACTTCGTCGTTCTTTCTAAAGCCAGTGACATTAATAGAAGTTGTCTTGCAATGAGCTCAGGACATCCATCGATGACGAATATGTTCATATAACGCCTGGTGTGGCGATATGCTTGGGCTAAAGTCTTGATAAGATGTCGGGCATCACATCCGCCGATAACTAGGAAGTTGAGCTCGTACGAATTTTCGTCTCCATGTTTTAAGTACTCCTCTTGTAAATCTAGCGCTGGACTTGTCCCCCAGAACATTTTTATCTCGACACAACGACGATCGACAGAGAAATGGCGAAGTTGTCAATGTCATAGCAACGTAAACAAGCGCTGAAGCGTGTGCAAAAGGGGGTTACTATGGTAACGAGCTATTTATGTCATCGAGTTTAATTTTTTTACTGCATTCCTGGAGGATGCGCTTAGTAGCTTGACCTATTAAACTAGAAAGCCAGTCAATCGAGCAGTTGGGTATTGATTTTATATTATTTGAGACGTCTATATTTATGATGTCCTAGTAAATTAAAGTAACTTAGTTATATCGTTAAGTTAATACCTAATATAAAGTAGTTTGCAATCTAACAATTGCAGTAGTTCCCTTTTCAGTTTATAAAAAGAGTTCAGATTATTGCGGATGGTTTTAGGTAGGGGAAAACTTAAACGGAAAGAAATAAAACAAAATAAAGTAAATTAATGGATTTATTTATATTAATTTAAATAAAATAAATTCTTACAATAAATGCCTCAGTATACTAATAGCAATATCGTTTATTAACACTAATTTGTTCTGTACAAGAATTATATTTACAGCTCTCGTTCCAGTAATAAATATAAATACTTAGTATAAAAATTACTTACTAGATAAATAAATTACATGTTCACTAAGTAGTCTTTGCTTAAAATATATTATAATATTGAAGACTTAACGATACTAGTTCACTAAACAAAGAACATTATTTTTAGGAACAATATACTAGTTAATAATTTTAATTTGTTCAAAAATAAAATAGGATGTGATAAGGATTTTTTTGGTTGGAAAGGTAGGTTCCATTTTACAAATTAGGCATCTTTAGATCTGTATCCACATTCTATTATCGATTGATTAAACTTTGTCATTCAATTTTATTGTAGTGTTTGTGCCGTAGTTTAGTTACTATTGGGAAGATAAACTCTTAAAATTATTAAAGATGTCCATACACGCACAATCTCTAACCTAAACAAGCTGTTATATAAATAGGAAGTGCCCTTTATTCAGCTGGCAATTTTCATACTCTCAAGAATAAGACTAGATTTGATTACTACCGAATATAGTAATGGAAACCAAAATTATAACTGAATAGAGCATTCATGTTTTTGGTTGCATCTTCTAGACATACGCTTTGACATTCGTCAAGAAAATCTGGAATCATCTGGAGATGCTAATGACCTAGGCTTAGAATTTTTCGAGTCCATCGATGCTGGGTTCCCTCGCCAGCCGGCACCAGTGCTGCGGTTGGAATACGTCGAAGAAGTTACTGGTACCTTACGAGTTTGTGTAATCTTCAATTTATTTAACCACAAGTCTCTAGTCTTTTTATTCCCTAACACAAAGAATAAAAACAATATAAAGCCTTGTAAAGTAACCGTTAACGTAAAAAGATATGCAGCTACTATATTAAATGCGAACAAACCGAAAATCCACGGCAATCCGAAAAGAAACACGAGTAAGCAACTGACGGAGGCACAGCGCAACGCTTCGTTTGAGTCACCGTGCCTCTGGATCCTTCTAGAAGCGAACACGGAACGAACTATCAGACAAAATAGCGTCCAGTTGGCTAACAACATGATAGCAATAGGCGCGTACACCGCGAGCCATAGCGCGAGTCCGGAAGGATAGCAAAATGCACCACTCGGCGTCTTCTCCTCAAATCGGCCCGCATAGGATTGAGGGGAGATCGAGAGAAGGACACCCACGACAGCACAGGGAGCGCCCCAGGAAAAGGCCGAGGCTCTCAACAACTTGTGAGAAGCATCACGAGTGAATACCAAAACCAATCTTCTGTAAGATAATACGGCAGCAACAAGCATCCAACAGAAAGACGCTAAAACACAATAATGTAAAGCTACCCCGAGCAACATACAACCGACGTTGTACTCATTGAACTTCATAAAAACTACGATTAAGAAACAAACGATCAGGAAAAATACAGCTATACAGAGCTGCAGCCAGATCTTGTTACTGTAGTCTCTTCTCCAAGACCTGAACATGGCGGCGGTCACACCTACCATAGAAAGACCTAAAAGTGATATACAACAGCCGATTATTGATAGAATTTCTAAAATATCCTCATTCCGCTGAGAAAATACGGATCTGGGGACGAGGATTTCAGCGAAATGGGTGAGGTGATCGCATCTGCAGGTGTCCATCAGCCCTGCTTGTGTGGCTCTGATGAAGGTGCAGCCCTCTTGAGACCAGTAGCCGGTACCGTCGTCGAAGAAGTGCCAATAGGCGCAGGCGCGGCTGAAGTTTCTGTCTGGATCACTTGTTAGTGGGTTGATGTGAATATCTATGACCTGTCAGAAGAAATCAAGGTTGGAAGAAATTCTTTTATGCTCAAAAGCTGTGTTTCGTGATCCAAATGATACTGACCTCTCCACTTCCAAATTGTGTGATATTCTCAACGTTAACGCTGAGGACCCTGCTGTTGACGGAGAGCCTGTCGTGTGCGGAGGCGAAGGCGCGGTCGTTGCGGAACACGACGAAGCTGATGCGTCGCGCAGACTGCGCCACAGACTGCGGCAGATGCACCACCGCCTCATTGTCCTCCACGTTTAAGGTCGAAGAGTTCAGTTCTTCTGTAAACATTGACTTAGCTTACATCAAAAAAACAGCATATTCTTCTAGAAAACTTGGGATCTCAAAATACCTGTAGTAACCAACATAAAAATCTTAGTTAAATCATACCTGAGAGCACTTCAAAGGAGTTTTTATTGAATCTAGTTTCATTGCTAGTGGCTATCCTCAGCCCTCGGACGGGGTTATTGGGTTTAGCGTCAGCCATGACGAGGGCGATGTTGCTCCGCACTGCGGTCGCGTTGCCCGAACCGTTCAGGTACACCGCCGAGCCCAGCTTGTCCAGCATGTGGAGAAGCTCCCCGGGGATATCGAGCTGGTCTTCCACGTCTAGGAGGACGTCAACCTAGAATCAAATAAGTGTCGCTTAGAAATCATAAAAGAACCATCTGACAAAGTAAAATCAAAATCTTTATTCTGAATCGTAACGTATAAGGTAATCTAAACATCTAATAATTTTTTACTGTATTTCCATGTGTTGTATTTTATCGCATCCTTAAAACGCCGCCCACGAAATTTAAACGCAAAAAATCTAATAATAGATTTCAGTTGATAATAATATCTAAATACGATGCGTATGAGACATATGCAAAGGAATTTAAATGAGATACTAGGATTCCATATCTACAAGTAAGAATCTTGAATTACCTGATCGAAAACATCACCGATGCTGTCCACCAGGATAGGGCCGGTATCGTTATTTAGCAATCGTTCGAGGTCTTCGAGAATTTGCTGCAGCTGTTCTTCAGGCTGAAATTTGTACATGAAAAGTTGAGAACTTTAAACTTTATATATAGGACAAAATTGCTCCAAGTTACCGTTTTCATGATAAGGACTTTAATTCCTTTAAATAGTGATTTTCTTACCCTTTTGTTGATTTCCAGCTTCAACTATTCCAAGTCTGTGGCTAAATCTTTAGAATTTGCTTGATTTAACTTACCGGTTTTGTAGTAGGTATGTCTGTCGTGACAACTGTTGTTTGTTCTGTTGTTTCTGTTGGAGTCGGAGTGGTGACTGGTGGAAGTGTGTCAGTCGACACAACTGTCGTCTCCGTCTGACACTCTGTTGTCGTCGGTACCGTGGTTGTCGTCGGTCGCAGAGTTGGCTTCGGTCTAGAATATTCTGTAGATTCTTCTGAACTTTCGCTGCCCGGTTCACGCACATGCGGCTGTTCTTCTCGTGTCTACAATGCGGTTTAGTGTTGTGAGGTTAGTAAGAGCGTGTGTATGATTTCTGCGTAACCTTAACAAGTGTAACTGGTATAGCATACTTACCATAGTCACAATTAGTGTAAAAACAATTATTAAGCATGCTTTCTTAACTTGATCAAAAACAGATGCATCTTAGAAAATGAACAAAGTTAAATAATGGCCATTTTCAAAATGTAAATATGAAATTAGAAACTCAAAATTGATCATATAGATATGGAGAAACACTTCAATTTTTTTTTTCACAAATACACAATCATGCACGTGAGTAATTATTTACAAATGAAGTGAACTATTCATGCTCGTAATAAATTCAATAAGGCGTACTCACAGTAGCTCGGGGCTGCACTGTCGGCATGACCAGGTGTACCAAGTCCTCTTGAGACCTGGTGCGGACGCGTATCGTGGTCTGTGCTAGAAGAGGTGCTTTTGTGGTACAACCATCTGCAGCTGTGGTCACCCACTGAACACCTTCATTAAAATCTCCCACGCATTGGTACGTTTGACAACTGGACGTCGTAGATTCACCTGGAATTGATGTTACTAAATGCTATGGGAAACACTGGTAAAAACACAGAAGACTAAAAATTAAGGAAATAGTAAAATAGAACAACCTATGACTTAGAAATAACCATCTCCCATTAAGCAACAATGATTTACGTAATTTTATAGGAAAATTTGAAATGATGGAACTAAGCAAGGTCTCATGACAATACAAATTGTACTCATTATAGAGATCATTAAAACACCAATCTATTATTAAAATGTCTGTAGCAATCCATTGATTTACTACTAACATTTTTCTAAAGTTCAGCAAACTTTTTCGTAATTAAACTAAATGTGTTCATAAATCTTCATCATTTACAGCTGTATTTAGCACCAGTTTTTATTAAAAAATATGTGACGTCCTTAGACAAAGTTCAAGTAATAATGGATCCCCGTAGAGGTGTTCACTTGGGTGGTAATCTAATTGACCCACTTGTAATGTTCTTCGTTCTCTGAGGTCAGAAGTCACCGGATGCGGTGTTAATTGTCATTAAATGTTACAAGTGTCATTCTAAATGATGAATTTAATATTAGTCATTACTTGTAATAAAATGAAAATTGAAATCTGTTTAATAAATGAGAATAAATTATTTGCAATACTTTTCTACTTTGGAAGAAAGTGATTAGGAAGTAAATGATACAAACCTAATTTTAAACTGGGCACTGAATCAAAACCTTTACAGTAATATGCTGGCTTCATATACTCCACCTCCATATCTTCCCAAAAGCCCGGCATCACCGGCATCATTTCAGAGTTCAATTCAATATGAAGCAAAGCTGTCCTACCATCTAAATATAACCTCTTTATTTTCGAATTATGTATAACGTCTTTATCCTTCCAATCTAAGTCTGGTGAAACTGATTTAAATTGCTTTAAAACCTTCTGGGTATCGTTCGCGTAAAGAGATTCCTCTCCATAAATTCGTGTATATTTCGTACGATAGAATATAAATTCCTTTAGCTTTTTTAACCATTGTCTGTATGTTTTCTCCAAATTCTCGAAATTATATGGTTTCTTCATTCGTATTTTCGTCGCGTAAACATTGCCCACGGACTGCTTCTCTCTGATGAACAGGACCTTGTTGGACTCCGATATGTGATATGTTTCAGTGTCAGTGTGAACGCACCAATAGTAGCCGTCAGTTATCGGCTTCAGCTCGAACATATTAGTGTCGTCTTCACGATGAACCTTGATTCTTGTCGGGTAATGTATCACAGAGTCGGAGAAGCAGTACACGTCACTTTCTCGTAAGGAATCGTTCACTCGTAATAACAATTTGTTGTCCCTAAAAAAAATACAAGTTGCTGTAAGGTTTGTAAAATATAGAAAATTAATTATTTATTAGCAAAAGGAAGTTTGCTTACCTATCTAATGTTACATTCATTGTAATATTTTTCATCTGGATGGATCTTTCGCATATCACGTCGTAGAATATGTAAGAACTGTTAACAAGGTACCAAAAATTATCGTGTAGCGAACCGAGCAGGGTGTCCGAAGAATGCACATTGTCTTCAAAGTTCCATTCTGATTCCGGTATCTGAATCGAATTAAAAGTAGATAAATAACTAACGCTAAAGTAGCAAATAACAATTTATATAAAAATAATAATTTTACCTCACAATGATCATCTTCGGCATCATACCGTAACATGGAGAAATCGGAACTCATAATGATGCCCAAAGGATACGTCCGACTGTACCCAGCTGCTTGGAACATTGGATTGTTAGCATTCCTCCAGCCTCTATTCAGAATGGAACCACCGTTCTTCTCACACAGTTCCTGAGCCTGTCTCCACGTCGCCCGGACTGGACCGCCACTAACACCAGTCAAGACCGATAGACACGTCGGTCTAGGACTTGAAAATCTCCAAGATTCCCACAAATCACCACATCCTTCATCAGTCATTTCATCTTCGTCTGGATAAGGCTTTAAGAAACAATACCTATAATGTTTCTCATCACATTTCGTTGCCGTAAAGTTGCTCACCGGATCTATCACTAAACATAAATCCTCGTGTAGACCTAACTCTTGATTATAATTGACATCATAAGTTGACAATAAGAGTCGACCGATCGAACTTGAGTAAGACCAATCTATGAACGGACCTCCGGGATATAAAGTCTTGTATTCTGTCCATATTACTGTATTTGGATTTATAATATTTAAACTGTTGTACAACGAGGAGGAAAATAAATTGCCAACGCAATCGTTGAATACATCCGCGAATACTTCGGGACCCTTTTTTCTGTAACATATCGGTTCCTCTTTCTGCTTCGTTAAGGCTAACTGAAAGCCCACAGGACATATTGGTGTCTTCAGTTTCTTTCCATCGCCTTCGTTAATGTTTACCAAAAATATAAACAACAATGGTACAGTTTTCCCTATAAATGACCACCGCAGGATCATCTGGAAGAGAAACAATTTGATTTAAAGTCCCAATATTTATAACGGTGGCTAAAATCTTGAGTTTTGGCCTTGAATAAATAGCTAAAGTAATGAATTTTCATGTGGGCATAGATAACAATCGACGTATTTAATCTACCAAATTTTAAATTAATTTTATGCCCGATACAAAATTTGCATAATGGCGTGTTTTTGCTATGTAATTAATTGAAGTTTGGTTCAAAATATTCTTTGCAACGTAACTTTTTGGAGACTTAAAACAAATAGCTGATGAAATCAAAACGTTCATCTTTCCTGCTTTTATTATGGATATTTGTTTATATTTTTAATCGATGCTTTTATTCCGTATTAGCGTTTTGGGGAATTGAACAGGTTACACACAAAATTAAGTGCGGATATCTGGTGATCCTTCGATTATCTTATCGAGTTAACAAACAGGCAGTGATAGTGGGCAATCGGCACTTCACTGTATTACCCGTATTCGGACATTATCGTCTCTGATTGGCGCCGAACCGTGAACTCTTGCTTAATGCTTTTAATACGTAAAGCTTCGATAAATACACTAACATAGTTAATGTTTTTTCAACATCAGATAAGTAATATAAAAATAGAATTAAATAGAACTGGCCTCAAAAGATTCTGGGATTTTAGCTATTTAAACGCTACAATTCTAACTTCTTTCTTGGGTAAAAAAGTACGTACCCTACTTTATAAGTACTATTAAGTCGTCGTCTTCCGGTAGCAATAAAAAGTTTAGTTTACGATTTCCTAAACGGACGACAATTATGCCTCAGCAACTTCTCAACCTTTTACAGAGGTCGAGCACCGTAAAGGTTTAATGCAATTTTATAATTACAAAAAATAAAACTTAAATCTTGAACTAAGGTAACTTCCAAGCACATTGAAACAAAAAGGATTAGTAAACTACAGTTAGGTATAAATGCATTCTGAACACGGAGAAACCATGAGTCCCACCAAGTTGTATTAGGTGAAACGAATCGATGCGTCTACGTCTGCAATCCCGTATGACTAGAGACAGTTATACTGGATAGCTTCTGAGATTATGTAGTCTTCATGTTACATAGCAATTTACTTAAATACTTCCACAAATCACACTCAGAATCAGATGGTGACTTAAATAGTTGTTTAGAGTAAAAATCTGTCAAAGGCCGTCGCCTTAACATGACTCTTGTAGTGTCAATTGCTTATGCTTTGTTGTTTGTTATTGATTAAAAGATTTTGTCTGTTCTGATTAAGGCGTGTTTTTGGAATTATTCATAGTATGAATAAATACTTCTCTACATGGAATTTGTCGTTCAATTCATTCGTAACATTACAACTATTGGAATCGTTATCTTTACGAGAATCATCGACGCGTATCAATGTTGATTCTGATGACATCATTTTTTCGGAAAGGAAATAATATGAGAGAAAAAAGCAAAATCATCTGATAATAAGCAAAGTTACAAGTAACCATTTCGTTTATATTCATTTAGAATAAATGAAAATGAAAAAATGTAATTTATACCTGTAAGATGAAATGATTAAAACAAATTTAATTATAATAATTATAGAAAAGAATGGTACTTATTGTTTAGAATATCAATTTCAAAAAAGGAAGGACGTTTTTTTTCTTTGAAATATAAAATATTTTAGATAAAATTTCCGCAAGCACAGAACAATACTACGTATACGACCTCGTTTTCTATCAGCACTGCTATATAAGTTTATCAATTCACAAGTAGCAACAACAAGCCTTATACGTGGCATTAGCACTGCCTATGTTATGTTTCACAATAAACTGTGACTAGTTTTTTATCTCTGTTCATTTGTCTTCATTTTAAAACCTAGTAAATTGTACCAAGATAAAAGGAGACACGTGTTTATTCCCACTGGAAATTTACGGATGTAATTGCAAATGAATTTCATCAATGACAATTATCTCAATGTCGCAATGATTGCTGTGTTCCGAGAATATGATAAGATCCAATTAGATGCAAATACCCCCCTCCCCCTGGGGAAATTGTGTGCATTGTGCGACCGCTCGCATCGTATAATGCGGATTTTTTGCGTGAAACCGAACGATTATTCTCACGTGATGTGGAACACGAATCGATTAAAACATTGATACTATAATACAATCGTAGTCATGAACGAATTTAAAAATGAACAATCTACGATTAACGACAGGACATTTAAGCATGCTTACTTTGAGCTGAGTTAACATTACTAGAAAACACACAGCTTTCGGTATGTTCCTTCTAGATCCTATCTTTTGAAGATATCCCCCCGACACCAAAAAACACAAAAACAAAGCAATGGGATCTGTAACTGGCCCTAATGTAGTTAGTTCATTGAACTTTGAGAATTCCGTCTATTATTCCAAAATGATTCCATTCTACCTTATAGGATAGCTGACTGAGAAATATAAATTCTATCGTCTGATATAAGAATGATTTCGTTAACAAACGTCACTGACGAAGCGTAACAAGTAATAACTTACTTTTATCTAAGTATCTATTTGCTTTCTCGTCGGATGATTATGGCTGGTCATCTTCTCACGAGCCTCTCAGACTGCGAGACCGAGGCCACATTTCCACGGTCTTCCCACGATCCGTGATCTTGGATGACGTATCGCTTCCGTGACGTCGGTTCCGCTTTGTGAGCCTGCAAGGAATCACAGTTTTTATGTAGAAATGCCGGTGAACATGTCATGCTTGGATAGGAACTAACTATCTCATTGATGAATCTGTTATTGTTGTTTTTTTTTAATATGATACAATAGAATGGACCGTTAGAAATTTCTTTATCTATAATGTTTTTTACAAACATACTATATTACTAGAATAAATAAAACTAAATTTATAAAAAACTTTTCGTCCAATTTTCAGCATATAAGTACTTTTTTTATTGTGTAATAAATGGATTTGAAAAACAAACATTATAATCTAGTAAAAGTTACTAACTGTTAATATTAACTTGGAAGTTACTTAACGTACATAACAGTTAAGTAACAAGCTAGCTTACATAATAGTAATGCTGTAGTTAATTTTAATATAGTTATTTATAAATGTTTAAGTAGAAACAGTAGATGTAATTAATTTTATGATTTATTTTTATATAAGAGAATCTTATGTAACTTATGTAAATTTATCTGTAAGTTTTCTTAAGTATTTACACTCTCTAAAGTAGTACCGGCTCTAAAAGACTAAAGACCTGTCCCACCACTGACTGATAGGGGCTCAGATAGCTTAAAAATGACGTCACTGTCTGATAAGGGAACAAAATCCGATATTTCCATTACATGTTTTACACGTTGCATGGTTATCAGACAATTTACAATTTGGTGGGACAGGCATATCAAGACGAAATCCTGTCTATATCGTGAATTACTCTGCAATAACCATAAACTACGTTAATTAAATCCAAATTACACTTGCAAATAAACTTTCTGTCTTCCAAAGTCGCGTGACTGAGTCAAATAAATTATCACTAATCATCGCCTTGGGCTACCATTTCTAAGCATTTTTTATCTCAAGGACAAAACCTTACTTCATAAAATTTGGATAATTTCAAAGTCACGGCTATGAAATTAACGAAATACTTTGTAACAAATAGTAACAATGTGATCTTTGTTTTCTACATATTCTTAACTAGCTGCTGCCTGTGAATTCGTCCAAGCAATATTATGATAAAAAGTAAGATATAATATGCCCGTCTATGTCAGCTACCGTTCAATGAAAGTCTGGTCGAAATCGGCCCAGCTGTTTTGGAGGTTAGCCGGAACAAATGTAACTTGCGGACAGATAGAATTTTTTTTAAATGATTATCGTTATCAGCAACGCAAATTCATCACCTTCCCGAAATCTGGATTTTTTCTTATGTTAGAAACAGACACTCCAATTTTATTATATAGATTCTTCGAATAACTGGATACTCTTGAAAACGACCGTCAAAATTAATTATAGGAATAGCAATTTCAAAATTATTCTGAATTTACGTTTTTACTTTTACCATCTGTGTTATTATTGAAATGTCAAGCCCATTTCGTAATCTCATTCGATCGATTCCGCGATTTACAAGTGCCATTATGTGATTTATGGCGCACTAGAGTGTCCACGATTTTAGGAGGAAAATAATGACATTTCAAAGACTCATTTACCAGACGTTATCTTAAGATCGCGTTAAGAATTTAACAAAATAGTGACCACATCAATCGTGTCAATATTTACATTATAAAATATTTTAAATAGATTGTAAATATCTATACAAATATTGTATCTGAAGAGTTTCAACTTCAACCACCAGTGAAACTGTTAGTTATTAGTTATATCTTATAATAATCAGGAAATGTTTGCAAAAATATACATGTCCTATAGAAATAAATTCACATGGTATTCTTACCCGTGCTACTTTTTTCGAGACAAATCATTATCACCAGTTTAAACTCTGCTACTTCCGAAACATAATTGTAGACAACAAGTTGCGAAATTGTTCGTACAAATTATATTTAATGACAAAATCTGTTCGTTCGAAAACAAAATATTGTATAGTAATGACTTTTAATTAGGTACCTCTTATTACAATGTTTCGGAACACATAACGCAGGTTAGTTGTCTAGGTAGTAGTCTAGGTAGTAGTTGTCTAGTTAGTTGTCTAGTAACGAATAATATTTTTGACTGTATTTGGAATAGCCTTTTAGGGACAAATTGACTTATTTTAAATGAAGACCCTCAATGAATCTGGTTACGTTTCTGTTTTTTTTTTTTGTATCATCTAAACTATAATAATATAATAAAGCGTAAAGACGCTACTTTGTGGCGTAGGATATCCGCGATCATAGCATATTTTTGAATATTTTTTTTAGTCCTAAGCCCTAGACTTACGACACGCTTTAGGCTATATATATATTTTCACGCTACTAAACTCAGGGGTTAATGAATTGAAAAAAAAAACCTTCATGTGGGAAAGCATCCATAAACTACAAACTGCCAGAATTTGACAAATATAAATAATAAAATGAAATTTTTATAATTTCATGCGGAAGAAGCCGCACTGTAACAGCTAGTTTTAATAAAAAATAAGAGAGATGACATGTTTTACTTAAGTGGTTATAAAATAGCACAAACATAAAGATAACTTAAAACAAAAGAAACGGTACACCGCAGGAACAATGTTACAAGTACACATTCCTATAGGCGTTCGTGACGGTGGCGAATGGCCTATCATCAGAGAAACATCGTAAATACTGTGACCATAATATCTAAATTTCCTAAAATATCTTCCCTATATTTTCAATTTATTAAATAAACACAAATTCCGTAAATATTGACGTTCGCACATATTTATGAATAAATTTTACTTTCATTGTTTATTCTTGTAAAATTTTAACTCACAAACTGACGTGATTTTTTAACATTTACACTTTATTACTTCTTTATTAAGAATCGATTTAATATTAGCAACAACGGCATATCTGTCCTACTTTGGTGTAGTTAATAAAAGAAAAAGATTATCCACTTAATAATGTCGCGGAATTGTCATCCTAGTGGCTAATATTGGGTGCAGTTGGCCGTTGACTAAATAAACATTTTATGGGTACTTCCCCACGTCGAGCTACACCCGCCTGACGTCAGTACATCTTTTACATTACCAATTGTCAAAACGTTCCCTAACAGCAAAATTTTACTAAACAAAAAAGTGGAAAAAAAACCTTTACGACATCATAAATGCAATATTTAAAACAGATGTTAAAGTACATTTATCATAATTATCGTCTTCTCTTCTTTCTAGTGTTTGCTGAATACGACAAATGAAGGGAGGAGAAATTGGGCGATTATCTTTTTCTGGTTTGTCCTCTCCTCTGGCCCAATTATAGCAACACACATGTGCAACTTATTTTCTTATTGCAGATGAATACACAATTAAATAAAGTAACCATCTATCTCGTTTGCAACCGGATTCCTTACAAAAGACGAATAACATCATAGTACCGTACCTATGATATAGGATAAATAAATCAGCAACATCAAATTAACAATGGGACATTACTGTTAAACTGAAAACCGTTGCTACTCATAGTTGCTATCTAGTACCTATTACGTCATATGTAACAAATACACAGTATATTCAAAGCTAGTTAATTTAACAGCCTCTTTTACATCGTCATCAACATCATCATCATCACCAGCTCACTCCCCACCAAGGGGCTAGGCTCCTACCCTAAGTTAGGGTGACTAGGCCACAGTCAACCACACTGGCCAAGTGCGTGTTGGTTGACTCCACACACATCTTTGAATTTCTTCGCTGATTCGCAAGTTGCATCACGTTTCTCTTCGCCGTAAGAACGTAGTGTAAATTATTTACGTATGAATCGAAAATCGTATTGATACATGACGGAATTCGAACCCAAGACTACAAGTCAAGTGCTCAAACCTGGTCTAAGGTATCTCACCTACGCCCATTATAGAAACTGTAAAAGTTAAACGTATTATATGATAATTAGATAGTGATTTCTTGTGTGAGGGAAAGCGGATTCTTCACGACAGACACGTAACATATTCACGTTACCAATACAGCACATGATTCTATTCAAACAAGATACCAACTTGAAAACATCGAGATACATGGTTATTTAAAAAAAACAAATGAAGTCTGACTGCTACTTGTTTCGGGGAAGAAACAAATGACAGATCAATAATGGTGATGGTAAGCCATAGGTAGCCAGTACGGGAATGGACATTGCCAAGGGTGCCAAGGCCTGCACCCCCCGTAGAGAATCAAATACATGCAAAAATTTGTATCAAAATAATAAGGTGCCTCTTTGTAAAAACCAAAACCTCCCCGGATCATCGGTCTTCCTCTTCTATGATGAAATTAAAAATCTTTCACACCTACATACATAAAATACTAGTTTTCGCCCTCGACTGCGTTCGCGTAGAATAAGAACAAAAGAAAGTAACCTTATGTTCCTTCAGACTATCCTGTACATCTGTGCCAAACCCTAATAAACAATCCATCCATCTAAACTTTCGCATATATAATATTAGTGAGATATTCCTTGCTTTTTTATAAAGAGAATAATAAGGATGGAAGCAAGGTTTCTGTTCATTTTTGTTTGGCTAATCCTACGTAACAATGTAACGTTTTTTGTATTCACATTACTGTACAGTTAGACGTTACTTACGAGTTATATCTTATCGTAATGTTTACGTTTCTATCCTCTCTGATTCAGTCCAGCACGTTACACATGCTGTATGAAGTCATGAACTATGAATGAATTTGTTTTCATATTAAAATCTTTTGTTACTTATCTATTTAAAAAATGCGTAATCAAGAGAATACTACATATCAATGATATAAATGATTTCTGTTAAACAGAATATTTTACACGTTTTTATAGCAGACTAGCTGTTGCACGCGACTTCGTCTGTGTCGAATTAAAAAATATAGCCTATGTTACTCACTAATAACGTAGCTTTCTATCGGTGAAAGAATTATTTAAATTCGTTATGTAGTTTTTACGTTCCATGCAAAAATACAGATCTTTCCTTTTTATAATATTAGTATAGTATGCGGTAAGCGGCTACCTGAATTCACCGAAATTGTGAAACGTTTTCCGCAATTTCAGTTGTTGCTGTTGGAAGAGGAGACACACAGGAAAAATA